TATACCTCTGCCCAGGTACAGTGTCCTGTCCCTGATTTGTGGCTCTGAACAAATGGGCCATTCCCACCTACAGCTCCCTTCTCGTCTCTGCAAGGTATTGTCTGAATTTTCCAGGGCAATTCGTTAGGAGCAATGTCTGGTTGCTGGGTTACCACACGGTTACTTTTTCTCATTTTGAGGGTGGGTGACGAGCAGAGTGACAGGCCAAGGTTGTAGTTTGCTCAACATACTAGTCGTTGTGAACCTCGAGTGGGAGCTCTTGTTGGAGCATCCCCCCACCAACTGCAGCGTGGGAGCTTGTGCTCAAAATATAGCAGGGCTGAAATCCTGGTTTGGCACTTCTGATTTGTGCTTTTAATACTGAACTGTCTTTCGACTGCACTTCCCACTGGACCTACCTACAGCCTGCATGACAAAAAGAAACATTTGGCCTCCTTTTGACTGGAATTTAGCTTGAGCTACATATTGCTGTTGCAGCAAGTTACATAATTTCTGCCTTATTCTAACATTTTATTCTACTTGAATTTGGGGGGTGGGCAGCTTAGACAACCCTTTCACTGGAAATGATGCACAATTTTGTATTAAAGGACTTAATCACTTGTGTGGTATCTAGATTTCCAAAGGAGTTTTTTGTTTCAAGGATTCAGTTAACTCTTGCACTGGGCATGGTATCTGAGGCAGAATAACACTAGTTAAATCCAAATGTCTCCCACTTTCATCTGTCGTAGCATGTGTTGAACTGTCCAGTACCTAACACTGCTGAAGGCCATTGGTCTATGTACAGAGCTACAAGTACTCATGTCACTGCACTTTCAGTGCTACAAGACTATCATCTGCTTTGGTGCGATGGTTTGTGTCCTCTGCCTTCTTACTAGGACTAATATTGCATCAGTTATACTGAGAGATGGCCCCAGCGATGCTGGGGCATGAGAACTGTGAAGGCTCACAAGGCCTTTTGTGAGGATAGATGGGTCTGCCAGGAGCACAGTGTGATTTTCTGTTTCAGACTGGTCTCTTGAGTGGGAGCTGTTTGGTCATATCTGAATATTTTAAATTTGAGATTGGGTCACTTCTGTACCCAACTGCTGCAATAGTTGTTTTAAAAAACAGAATATTGAAATACATGAATTGAATAGTCAATGTTTGTTTCTGACTTACTGGAAATCTTGAGTATGTTTTCCTGTTTTTAATACTGTAGGCAGACAGACTTGAAGTTAAAAAAAGACAACAGGAAATGCAAAGAAGAGAGATGTTCCTTGAAGATCAATATTAGTAAGTAAAATTTGAAACTTATTACCTAAAATTCCTGATCAGCTTGTCCTTTTGTTTTGTGGTTTGGGTATTTTTTAATTTGTTGCTTTTGTCTGGTTTGGGGCTCAGGAAGGATTTGGCTTCTGTTGCTGTCTTTTCACTTTTTGACTTCAAAATTTTGACTTCAGGGCAAGAGGCAATGGGCACAAACTGAAACACTTTTTTACTGTGAGGGTGACTGAGCGTGGGCACAGCTTGCCAAGGAAGGCTGTGGAGTCTCTGACCTTAAAGATATTCAAAAGTTCTGGGCAACTGGCTCTAGGAGCCCTGCTTGAGCAGGGGGTTGGACAAGATGACCTCTAGAGGTCCCTTCCAACCTCAAACCACTCTGTGATTCTGTGAAATATTCCAAGCCTCCTCCATACCTTATTCTGTGAGAAATTTGATTCAGTAGATTTCTCTTAGCTTCTCAAAATATACACTTTGAAATGAAAACTGAATTATAGAATGACTTTGTGCTTTCTTTCTCTAACTGAATTAATATGTGATCATTCAATCCAAGACTAATTATTGAAACAGGATCTAAATTACATCTCCACCCATTTATTTTAGTGACTAATAAAGAAATCTAACCCACATAGAAATAATGAGGACTTCCTATAATTAGCATAGTCCTACAGCTCAAAGGTAGCTTCCACTGTGAAGACCTGTTTCCTGAGAATACCTCCTTAATGTCAGATTTAGATATGGCTTCACTCCTGCTGTAATTAATTCCATTGGCAGTGAAGTTCCTGCCTTGCTAGTTCACACTACCCTATTTATTTCTTTTTAACTGATGCAAACCAATTCTATCACATAATTAACACACAATGCTGTTTAGTCACCTTTACCTTTTTTATCTTTGGCTCCTGAAATTACTCACCTGTGTTCTTAGCATGACTGATTGCTTTTTCCTCCTCTGTGACCTTTAAAGGAGTAACTTTTGTCCCATGCTAGTAGCTCTAGCTCCTTCATCGTTTGCCCAGGCTCTGTTCTCTAATGTATAGGCATTTTAGTGCTTTCTCACTGATCTCAGACTTTCTTGTCTTTTTCCTTTCACTTCTTCCCATTTGGCTTTAGGTACAGCTCTTTCCTTAAATACATTGCCTGTGTTTGTCTCTAGATATTGGCATTTTACCTGCTGTTTGTCCTCTGTTTGTCCCAGTGTGGATTTTCCACACACACACCCCTTGATTCCTCAGAATTTCTGAAAACCCTGCACAGCTTTAGATCTCTGCCTGTTTCGGACAGACTAGACACCTTCATCCTCTTTGAGCCTAACTCAACAACCTCATCAGATCTTTTCAGTGCAGGATCCTCAGCTATGGGACTTGCTTTTTCCTGAGGGGATTGTCAGGGTTCTTATCTTCCCATTTAATCTGATCTTTTGTCTTAAGGCTTTTTCAGTTATGAACAGAGATATATCTCTCCCTTTCCCTCATCCTCCCCGTCTGTACATTTTTTTGCTTAGAGTGAAATGAATTCTGCTCATCAGTGCTTTTTCCATTAAAAGTAAGTTTTGTTCTGGCAAAAGCAGCCCAAAACCCTCGGAAACACCTTCGTGGGGGCAGTGGGTTGGTCCCTAGGTGGTGCAGGAGCTCAGGCTGCCTGGGCACCAGGAAGGAGATTGGCTGGCAGCCATTCTGTCCACTGCTTTAGGAAAGCCTTGTGAGCATTCAGCTGGTGTCATCTTAGCAAACCAAACTGACTGATGCAACTGAAGGAAAAGATGGACTGTCAAGCTCCATCTCTTGAGATTATGTTCAACTATCAGAAGATTATTTGTATGTACTATGATTGAACATACAGCAGGTGGGCCCCGTAGATACTGCACCTGGAGAAAGCGTGCTGAAAACCTACCTACAGTGAATGCAATTTTGGTTAGGCAAAAACCTCCCATGCTGTACAGAGTGACACTAGTGACTTCCTGGGTCTGAAGGAATCCTCTGGTGGACAACTGGACGTTGTTGAGGTTGCATTGCTAAGATACTTTGGCATTATGGAGCACGGCATCCAGGAGTAATGGAAAGATACTGTGCAACATCTCAAATCTTGTAAAGTAACTCCACTGAAGTACTTCTGGTTATTAGAGACATGTTCATGTAAAAGTGCTGGGTATTTAAAGACGTGCTTTTGCCTACTATGCAAAAATGAGTGACTCATTACTTCCATCATCTAAGACCCTATGTCTAGAGGCAAAGAGAACAAATATGAGGTTGTGCCCCTTTCCTTGCTGTCTCTGCTAGAGTATTTTGATCTCCTTCCCTGCTTGCTGGGAGAGTGGGGAAGGAAGGTCATGGGCTGCATATAAAGCAATGACCTCTGCAAAGTCATGGCCTGTGGAGCTGTTTCAAAAGATAAGCTGCCTTGTTAGTCTGTCCTCTATAAGCATCTGTAGCTGCAACATCACAATTTTCCTGAGGAAATCAATGCCTACCAGCAGTCTCATTAGCTGGGAAACCTTTTAAAATTGATCACCACCTCTAGCTGTATCAGCCTCCATGGGGTGCAGCCCAATCAGTACCTCTCCTATATGAAGTGCCGCTTCGATTTGATAAGAGAAGGCACTTAAGATTCTCATGTCATTCGCATACTCTGACAATAAATTATGATGCTTCCCAGAAGTTCATTGTTCTGATTAAATTCCTGTCACTATTAAAAACAAGAACTTCTCGCTGAAATCCACTTTCAAAGGGTGTAACATGAAGTAAGTGAATGCCAAAAGGAAAAATTATCTGCAGCTTTGTCCACTGTCTGCAGAATAGAGTTATTTCCTATCTCTTGAAACCCTTGTTTGCTTCTTTGTGTACAACTGGCCCTTGAAAGTCAACAATATCTGTTATCAGATGTGTATTTGTTATCAGATTGAGTAAGTGTTTGTGTCTTGTGAGAATGAGGTCTAGACATGCATGCAGAGTGCTGTGGAAAAGTCTGCAAGCCTCCCTCTTCTGGGATCAGCAGCCTCTCTGACCCAGGTGGACTCAAAGTCTATTAGGTGACTAAAATAGACGAAACTCACAAGGTATCTCCTAAAACAGCTGTGTATAAAAAGCCTGAAGAGCACACAGGAGCAGACTTTGGGCAGGGGAAGTTGCTGCATGGCAGAATTGCTACAGCCTGTATTAACAGAGGAGAAGCACTTGAGGGATTTGATGGTGATAGTGTTGCTGTGGTTCTGCCTCTGCAGGTGCCAGATCTAGAAAATAAGGAGTACGCATGCACTTTTCTACTGGAGATGGCTTACACATGAAATGGAATCCTTCCTTCTGAGTAATGGTGTCTGGGATGCATTTTACATTGATTCTGTGATAGCCTGTGGTAAAGACTGTGTTTCTGTCAGAGTACATTAAAAGATAATGAATGCTTGCGTTGCCCATACTTTGCAGTTGCTAATCCTTTTGAGGAAAGGACTGAGTGTCCATCTTTCCAAATCAAAATGAAGAAGTTAGATGGCTGGCTCAGGACTTTTCAGGACAACCCTCTTTAGTTAGGACACAAAAAATATCATTTAAACAGTAATGAGGGATGGCCGCTTCATGACATGCTTTTCTCTGTGGCTTGCTGTGCAAGCTGTATGAATCTCTGAACTGTAGCATGTCATGAATTGTCTCACCATAAAGTTTTAGCCCAGCTCTCTAGTAAGGTGCTTTTATTTAATTTGGATTTGACTTCCCAGAAACTGTAATGTTGGATGTGGTCCACTGTGTTTCTAATAGCTGTCTACCTATTCATGTGATGGGAAAAGCAGTCTAGCACATAGTGTTTCTTTATAATAGTACATGATGTCTGTTGTATCACTTCATTTTTCCCTTTGTTACATATTCATGCCTCTGCTTTTGTGAAGGTTGTACTCCTGTAAAAATTCCTGGCACTGCTGCATTCGGGTACATGTGTGCACTCAATATATTCTGCTCAGAATTTGGAGCTGGGAACAGAATTTGCCAGAGTGCCTCCAAGTGCGTATTCCAAACACAATGCAGGAGGTTTACCAAACCAAGCAGATATACACATGCCTGCCAAAGCAGTTTTCTCGAAAGTCATAAAATGCAAGAAAATAAAACCTGAATCAAACCAGAGTTTTTATTTATTTATCTATTTTTACAGGATAGATACTAGTGTCCTTGCCAGTTTTCAGTCCCCTAAGATGTGTGGTTCAAACAGCAGGCTGGTAACAAATTTTCCCCACAGAAGTGCAAATATAAACCTGACCAGACTTTTAATGTAGGTTGCTAGAGAGAATGAAAGAGGGCTCACACAAAAAGGGTTTTGCAGTCTTGAGAATCTTTTGTTTGCTTCTTTTCACCACAATGGTCTTCGTTTTGTTCATTTGCTCTTGATTATTTTAAGCGTTGTCAATTATTTAGCTAACAGGCAGAAAACTAGGCTTTTATAGACATCCAAAGGGACTCTCTTGAGTGTAATAATGAAGGCAGTTTATTGAACGCCTGTGAGGTTGCTTTCTAATTGTACGCATTAATCTGCCCATGCAAGCTGGCTGAAAATATAGAAGCAGATTGCACATGCAGATGGAGCACACAGAATGGAAGATCTATGCAGTAGACTTATACAAAACTGCATTTTCCTTAAAAGTGGATTTATGCTTATTACTTCAGATAATAAATGAAACTTGATGTCTAAAATAACTTGCAAGAATATTGGATGAGTTGGTGGGAGGAAAGAATAGCCTAGCTGTATTATTTCATCCAGTCAGGAAAACAAAAAAAGCAAGTGGGTTGACAGGAAAGATTAGTTTTGGGTGTGGGTGGGAAGTGATGAAAATAATTCTGCTGAGAAAGTTCCTTTTTTTTTTTTTTTAAACCTGATTTTGTAGTTTTTTCAAGCCTTATACCTAAAATGAACTAGTGCTACATTTTTTGTTCTTACCCCCAAGAACAGGAACACATGCTAAAGAACTTGCAGACAAGAAAGCCTACCAGCCAAAGATAGCACAGTTTTGATCACTTTCATTAGATTTTCCCAAG